CAAACAATTGATGTACAAAAACAAATAATTTCACTTAATTCTTTTACACAGATTCATTGACTTATTCAATTACACCAAACTGGGTTTGAACCCAGCAAAGACGCCGCCAGGCTGAAGATGACAAGTCCCCGTAGCATAAACACGTACACACACACACACACACACACACACACACACAAACGCACCCACACACACACACACAGGGCTAACCCCACTGAAATATTAAGTGTGCAACCTCAATACGCCAGCAGGTAACCAGGAACAGCTTGTGTGTTTTAAGTTCATGGACCGCTACTGGGCTCAGCGCGAGTGTATTGGTCCTCACAAGCACAGTATAACAGGAATGTGTGTGTGGCACGCAAAGTTAGAGGATGTTTTAAGCGACGAGGTGGATTCGTCACAGTCACAATAACCATGACAGGAAATTTTCATATCTTACAACAGAGATGTTGTTCTGGCAAACGGGTAGATAAATAAGGATCTCACAGAATTTGGTGGAAGCTGCACCTCGTTCTTTACATTCGCCATCGTCCCTCTAATTGTCTGCACCAGCGCTTGGGTGCAGAAGCCTGTTAAAGGGCAGTATTTTCAGAGCCCCAAGACCATAAAGTTCCGAGACGCTGATTGGCCATTAAATTAGTCTGTCTGTGGAAATCCACAAATGAATGACAGTAGATAGGGAAATGTAGTTTATATAATTTGTTTTGCTTATAGGTACACACTCTAGAGAGTAAAACTGACATTTATGAGTTAATTTCTAAAAATATATTTTACGTTTCTCTCTTCTTATCAGGGAGGGCGGTGCCCCAGCGCCCCCTATGGGCCGGCCGCCACTGGCTGGGATCCAGGTGGAAAAAGGGTGTCAGCATTCTCGCTCAACTCGCTCTTCTAGCTGGTCAAACTTCAAGAGTTGTTTTCCACCATGGCGGTCATACAAAAAGCAAGACGATAAGGTAACAAACAGGAAATACGCGTAGAGTAGAGCGGATTTAGATTTGACTAATCAGAGGCCTCCTTTCTGCGGTCACCTACAATTTTGGAGAGGTGCACCAAACTTCCAAGAGGGGGTATAAAGACACAACAAGTCTGTAATGTAGGAGGGAGTCTGACAGTAAAAGGCCCCTGAAGACCCAGGATTTTAAACTGGAACTGAAAAGAGACTGGGAGCCAATGAAGAGCTTTCAGAATCGGCCTAATATGAGCCCTTCTGTTTCTACGAGTCAGTAACTTCGCCACAGAGCTCTGAACCTGAGGAGACAACTCGTGTTTAGACATGAGAATAGACTGTTATGCTCCCTAGATGTGGACAGGAAAAGTCATAATATAGATTATAGATTTTAAAAGTATTATCAATTCTCAATTTTACTTAATAGTATGTAACAACAGAGTATTAGGGCCAGGCTAGAGATTTTTTTGTCTTCTATTGGCGAGAATAAAGTCGAAACATTACAAGATAAAAGTTGTAATACTACAAGAATAAAGACGTAAAATTACAAGAATAAAGACCTGAACCAGGACTGACCCAGAAGACCAGAACCAGGACTGACCCAATAGATCAGAACCAGTTCTGAATCAGAAGACCAGAACCAGGACTGACCCAGAGGACCAGAACCAGGACTGACCCAATAGATCAGAACCAGTTCTGAATCAGAAGACCAGAACCAGGAATGACCCAGAAGACCAGAACCAGGACTGACCCAGAGGACCAGAACCAGGACTGACCCAATAGATCAGAACCAGGACTGACCCTGATAACCAGAACCAGTGCTGACCCAGAAGACCTGAACACAGGCTGACCCAATAGAGGAGCACCAGGACTGACCGAGAACAACAGAACCAATGCTGACCAGGATGAACAGGAAGTGTATTTTTTCTTGCGGTGTGGAACTAAAGCCTCCCTGCAGAGGGCACTATCAGTCAGACATGGTGGCGGCAGAGTGATAGTCTGGGCCAGAATTTCTGGCTCAGCATTCGGACCACCTGCTGTAATGGATGCAACCATGACCATCAGTTAGTGAACTTGGGTTCAGTGGCAGAACAAGGATCTGAAGAACCCCAGGAGGTTCTAGAGAGGCCTAGTCAAAGGGAGCAGGACACCTGTTCCACTGCTCATTATAGAGCAGAGCAGGTGGTTCTGATGTTCTGACTGGTCTCCCAAAGCACAGAGTGACTTTTCTTCAGTTGTAGATGTTTATTTATAGATGTAACTTCTATCCTCATGGACAGAATGTATGCAGCAGATGACAACAAGAAACAACTTTCAAATTCATTCATTTATCTTTATTTCCATTTACAAATTCAGACACCTACATACGTTTTTTTATTAAGAATATCTTACCTGGTATTAAATACGTCAGCAGCTGCTGTGAGAAACGACTTCTTCTAAGGGAAACAGAGCGAGAACGGATTTTAAAGGCATATTAGGAGCAGAGTGGAAGAAAAACGTTTTCCTGCTAAATAAAAATAATTATAGCAGCTGAGACACACTGGACGTCCAGAAGGGGGCAGTATGCCCCGCTATAAAGAGAAGAGGAAGAAGAGGCCCACATCCTTCCAAAGCTTCCAGCCTCCACTGTGTTTCTAAAACACACTTTGATTTGATCGGATCAGAACTCCTCCATCTGCAGCTGCTTCAAACATCTGATTCTAGGTTCAGATTTCTCTGCTGAGCTGCTGCTTTACCTGAGAAACGCTCTGATGGAGAAATTATTCAACCATTTATAGCCTATAAATGCTTGAGTAATTTCCTATTAGGAAATATTTTTAAATAGAATTTAGACGATTGTGACATTAGAACCAGAAAGAGGTGAAGATAATGGCAGCGAGTTCCTCCTTGGTTCCTTTTTCTATTTCATGTTTATCTGAACTTTGTGTTTCACCACATAGAGAAGAACCATGAAACAATAAAAGCTCAGGGGTTCCGGTTCGGTCCATGTAACCGGACCGTCAGCAGAACCAGTCAGAGATCAGAACCAGGTTGCGAGGCAAACCCGAACCAAACCAGGATCTGAGCCTCTCAGCTCTTACCTGCAGACACGTTACCGAGCCCGGAGGAAAGGAGGCGGCGTGACGTCACACGAATGCGGAAGTCATATGACCCTATGGGCTTTTTTTTCTCCTGATAAATTCATTACAAATAGGAAGGATTAATAGGAACAACAGGAGAGGGGACAAAGACAATACAGAAAGCTCTTATAAAGTATCTTAAGAATATAGGATTATACACACACATATATATATATATATATATATATATATATATATATATATATACAGAGAGAGAGAGAGATGGATATAAAAGTATACAGATTGTATATGTAGATATAGGTATATGTATGTGTCTATATATATATGGATGTATGTGTACATATATACATACATAAATATATATACATACACATACATCCATATATAAATATATATATATATATATACACATACATATACAGGGGTCTGTGCAAGACTCAACCTGGACGTCCCAGTCTTATGTGCCCTGAAAGCTTAATACATGGCTGGGTTGGACCTCCCCAACCCAGCCATGGTGCGGGGCGGCAGCGTGGTCCCCTACTGCCAGCTCCAGGTGGGGTCCTTCAATGACATGTCAAGGACCCGCCCACTTTCTAGTTTTTAATTCTATTTTTTTTTTTAGAAATAATATCTGTTTTTACTAAACTTTTTACTCTCAGCATCTAGCAGTTCTTGTCCAGCTCCATGTGTCTCTGCATTATCTTGTCTTCAGTAATTTAAGCATCTCATATCTGATTTGAGGAACAACAACCTTTCTGTTTCTCTATATTGTTTTCTGATCCTGTTTGACTATTCTTCTTCTAAATAATAATTTTACTTTGCTTTGCTAAGATGCATAATGGTCATCTAATAAGATAAATGTTACATTGGTTTTTCAATCTTAGATGAAGAATATCTTTGTTTTCTATCTTATTATTCATTGACGTTTTCCGTTTCCCCCCAAAAGGATTCCTAGCTTATTGTGTTTAGTTTGGTTCAGGTTATTCAGATTATTAATAATCGGCACATCAGCACATATTGGAGATCAGTTATCCGTCTAAAAAAACAACCAAACATAGATGTGGATCTCTAATCAAAAGAGTGAATCCAAATAAAGAGATGGAAACACAAATAATGTTCTGATAAGCAGATTCAGAAGGAAAATCTTTATTAAAATGAGTCAACAGGCAGCAGTGATGAACACATGGATGCAAAGCTGCAGGTTAGCATGACCTCTGGGTCACCATCACAGGAAAACAGAACCTTCTGCTCAGGAACTGTTATCCTGAACCCAGCACCTGCAGATCACCAGTAACAGTCATTAAGATTTACGGTGCGGCCATGACGGCTTCAGCAGAACCAGAACCTTCTGTTACAGCAGCAGCAGATGTAGCTGATCAGGTCTCTGATTGACAAACAGCAGGTTCTGTTCAGGTATTGTCTGGTACCACTGGGTTCTAATCAGAAGAAACCCAATTCTGGTCAGTAACAATAACAATAACACTCTATGGTAAGAACTGAGAGAGAGGAGGAGGGAGGGGTCAGGGGAGGACGAGGCAGAAGATGGAGGGGTCAGTTAAAGGAGGGGGAGGAGTCAGAGGTGAGAGTAGTCGAGGGAAGGCAAAAAGGGTTCTGACAGAGTCTGATTAAAATGTGAAGGCTTCAGACAAAAACTCCGTTTCCATGGAGGAACCTGGTCCCAGAAGTATTCATACAGTATAAAGGTTCTACCATCTGGTAGACCACAGCAAAGCAGGAGAAAAGCAGGAACCGTTAGACTGAGGCTTACAAAGACCCAAACAGTGAGACCAAAGCAGATCAGAACCAGAAAACCTTTGCTAGAACCAACCAGATCCAAGCCGTCATAAAGCAACAGCCTGCAGTGGATTCACCTCAACATGTTCTTTAGAACCTTTAACCGTCAGTCCAAACGTTGAATAAAAATGTAACTTTGAACAAATAAAAAAATGCTCCATGTACAAACATCCTCCATCTACTCTTCCTCCTCCTCTTCATCATCATCCTCATCGTGGCAGTGGGTGATTTCCTGTGGAGCCTGGGGGAACAGGTGAGGCGGCTGGATCTCGCTGACGGATCGGGTCAGCTGGTGCCGTTTGGTCTCCATCTCCTTCATGTCAAAGTCTCGGCGGTTGCGGGTGGCGAGCGGCGACTCGGTGTCGATCAAGTTGACGTGAGAATGCTCCACCGTCGACTCGTGAGGCATCTGGAGGAACACAAACAATCATACAGTTCTACAGAACTGGCTGAACCAGATCCTGAGAAATGGGTTCTAACCCAGCCCCCGAGTGGTTCTGGGCTACACACTTACCAGA